CGGATGCACCCCTGCTAGCTTTCGTCACCTACCCTCGGCCTCAAGTATTTTTTCCCTGGATCTACTTGTATAAGGTGTTCTTGACCGTTTGTTTCGGAAATGGACTCTGAAACGATTCAATCTTGTGTCCGGATGTGTCCGGTTCTGTCTATATGTTCAAATCGAACTGAATAACTGAATATAACTATGTGACTATGTGTTGCTGAGGGGAAAACGACAGTGGCATGTTTGATCGTGGCAAGTGAGCCTATTGCAACCTGAAAAGCCAAAGAAAGAAACTGGCCCCCACCCTGCGACGATCCATTCTTCATTGTTTTTGTCCACCTTTCTACGTGATTCCAAGATGTTCCAAGTGTCTGACCGGGAACTCCGCTCCCCAAACCTCCACAACCTCCACGTCACGTTTCTTCGCCAACGTCAACGCACGTTCGTGGGCGAACATTCAGGCTGGAACCCTGCCAAGCACTGCTGAAGCCCGTCTACACGGAGTACATGGTGCCGGTCTACAAGCCGCCCAAGAGTCACGGCTGTCACCCGGTCGTCACGTTAACGTAGCAGGATGGGCAGATGGGCACGGACCTTCCTCAGGTGGGAGGGAATGGAGATCTTGGCGTAGCTGGTGCCTGCTTTAGGGGGAAATTGAGGGGCTTTGGGGAAGTGCATGAAATGGGTAATTCCACGATATTCCACAGCTCAGCAAGGTTGCCACCATTTAATAAGTCTGTTTCAATTCAGGTCGCTCATCGGTTCCATGCGACTCGGGTCCGATGGTTGCTGGACTCGACGATCGCATCGCTTCTCCGACTGCGCCCAGGCAGCAGAGAGAATCGCCCCCTATACGACCAGGACTGGAGGAAGAACCGAGAGGACCAATCTACAAGGGTCTATTCGCAATGCAAGCGCTGCTCGGCGGAGCTGTGGATTTTCATGAATTGGGGCGTATACATGATAATTTGATGTTGAATGATTTGCCCTTCAATTGATGGTTATGAGCTACAACATTAAATTAGCAGTTATTTAGGATGTTCCAGGTCGGTCATCCCCCCAAGAGAAGAGACACACAAAAAAGCCCCTACAAAAATCCTTAAGGAGAGGAGAGGTGTTTCTTTACAAGTTGCCAAGCGTCACCAGATCAGATCTGAAAAGGACAAGAACCACGTCACGTCAACTACTATCCAACTCAGATCCAATGTCCATCTCCATCCGTCTACCTCCATCCAACCAGGCTTGGAGCTGGCGGATGACTACATCTCCCAGGCACTGCGACAGCGCCACCGGTCCCGGTGGAGCGTCACCGGGACCTGACCGGTGAGGACGCACGACCGGGGAGGGGCGGATGGACCGGTGTGATTGGTAGATAGGTCGTGAGTTTGGTAAGGAGTCGAGACAAGATTCTCTATAAGTATAGTGGGTGTAGCGGCTTAGGTTTTTTTTTGGATGACTTCTCCATTGAATCCATTTGCCGCTGGATTTGGATGCTACATGTTCAGCGTTTTGTTGGCACTGCAAAGCAAAGACATCTCCTTTTTCGGTGCTTTAACTTGCAAGACCCACCGGCGACATGACGTGGCCGCGCCATGCGTGAGATAAAATAGGTAGTGTGACCTTGGCTGTATGGAATGCTCCACTCAAACCCACGTTGGTCATGCTTTGGCCGCATGTTTGAGAGAATCTTGTGAGTTGTCCATTCTTTCACAACAAAAACAGCTAATCCAATCCCACCCCTTTTTACAGAGATAAGCAGCACCATTTGACCATCCCATCTTCATGCTCTGATCATCTTCAGAGATTCAGAGAGCATGATGTTGATATATGTTGATGTTAAGATAGCTTTTTTCACGCTGAAACATGTAGTAAAACCATGGCGCTCGACTCTTCGCAGGTCTACGAGCCCAAAGTCGGCTTCCAATACTCCGCAGTCATCCGCGCGCGGCCGGACGACATCTTCCTCCGGGACGTGCCGCCTTTGCCCAGCCACTCCGAAGGGATCCGAAGGGCACCAGGTGGTGTTTTTGGGTCGGGGAATGAAGACCTGCAGTGGTGGTTTCAGATAGCATTGTCAACCTCTACTTGAAATGATTGAGCCCGCACTGACTCATTTTTTGCAGAGTTGAAACCACCCACGGGAGCACTGGAATTGCCAATGCCCCATGCCTTGAACACTGGCCTCATCCACCACCCCTGCCCTGTTCGGCCGGCAGTGCCTGAACCGGCGACGTGTGACCGGCTGATCGATATGTCAGATGGCGCCGTCGATCCAGGGGTGCCCGCGGGATGTTCGTAGTGAGGGCTTTGGTGATCTCGCAGTCAAACGGCCAAGGTGTCAACGCTTTCCTGGAAATGAAGACGGCCAACGCTTTCAGGTTTGCTGTTTATTGGTGGAGCGGTGTAGCTAATATACATATATAACCATAATATTTGGTTGACTGACCTGGTGCCCCAACCACCTCCACTCAGTGGATCACCTGCTTTCACCTGTTCAATGTTATTTTCCCTGTGAATCCCCACAGCGGCCAATATGCAGTATTTGTCCTGGTTCCGGGTGGAGCATCGAAACGGCCCAAACTTTTGAGATCCGAGCCCCCTTGAGGTTACAACCTCTCCCGCTTCACCGTGGCCGCCGGCGGCATTGCCGACCACTGGCACGTCGTCCACCGCGGCTGCCGGATGGCGCCACCTGAGTGTCTTGTGGCGAAGATGTGGTGTAATTCAAGTGGAGATCTCATCTTGAGATGCTACAGATAATTTTAGATGGGATCTGATAGATATAGATATGCTATATGTTATGTTTGGACGGGATCTCCTTTGCGCGTCACAACTTGGCCAACCCGGCAACCCCTGCACATGGTGACATGGTGGCCAGTTGCTGGCTGTGAGCATTGGCAACATTGGGCACATTGAGCTGCTCGAAGGCCCCATGGTCGACAATCGCAGACAATCCCTGGTTCATGGAGGGCCGGGAGAAACCAGCTTGCTGCACAGTCATTCATGCAACGGTGCTAGAATCCAGGAGGCAGCAAGAGGGCTGGAACACATGCCATCTGAAGTCACTGTCTTTGCAGGCACAACTGTGCTTCCTCGCGTCTTGCTTGCTGGGGTAGCTCCTTGGCCTCATGCCAAATTACATCAAATTACCATAACTGGTATAATGGCGAGCAGGACCTCGACTACTCTGACATGTCGAGTAGGGCCAATGTCATATGAGGCAACCTCAAAATTATCATCAACCACTTTAGTAAGGGACGTTTCATCTCTGTGTTGCTTTCGTGATTTTCCTTGAAAAACGATAGGGGACTGACAAAAAACGATACCCCTGTGTTTACATACTTGCAAAATCCAAAACTATGGAAAACGATAGGGGACTGACGCTAACTCATATATCGGCCTGAACCATATGAAGTCCTGTCTCGTGCTGCTATGTCAGAAGCCTATGTGGCAAGCGGCCTGGTAACCTGGTAGTTGTGCTGGTCACAAGGCGGCTTGGCCTCCCTATGCCCAGCATTGCCCAGCCTTAAGGCAGACGACAGTCAGCACGACAGCCATGAGCCCTGGACACCCATACCGACTTGGCTGCCGGCGGGGCATGTGCTTTGCACGCTCGACGATGAAGGTGTTGCATATGACAAACACCCAATAGCTGTACGTGGTGTGTCAACGAGGCCAGCTGCTCTAAAGCTCGAGTCCAACCTGAGGTTAACAAGGAGTAGATGCAGGGCAATGTCAAAAGAGTAGATGGCGGGACTGTAAACAAGCTGGAACAATGTACCATGTCCAGCACGTCACGATCGACAAGGTGATGCAGACCAGAGCCACACTGCTTGCAGACATGATGAGCTGGGCGGCGCCAATAGGCACACTTGGAGCAGACCAGAGCATGCCGTGTCCAGATGCAAGCTGATGCAAGCACCACGAGTGTGCGCAGGCGTACCTGGGTCTTCGGGTTTTCCTGTCGGCGGCGATCAATCAAAGCATCAGGGGCCATATATCGCATTGTGCGTGTGGAGTCAAGATAGCAATGAGCTCACTGCCGCCAAGCAAGGCCAGACCGCCACCCTTCAATTCATTTGCCGACAATCCACAGCCGACGCATGCACAACACGCAGATGTCGAAGAGACAAGGAATCCGATCATGGAACGCATTTCAGACTTTGGAAGGTTCTCTAAGATGTACAGAGAATCATTGGTTCTGACATGTTCAGACTGGAAGGACGTCTCTTTGAAACATGTTCATCGGATCATATCGGATCTACGTTCAGTTCCAATGGATATACTGGAAGTATCTGGAATTCCAGAATGGGAACCCCCTTACCCTCCAAGATCTTCTTTGGAACCTGAGGCATTTGTGCAAGTCAAACCCAAAAAGCACACAACTTGTACGGGGGATCATCATCCCGAGTGCCCTGTCATTCCTTCCTTCCTGCCTTCTTTTCTTGATGGAACAGGGACCTTTGGATTATACTTACGTCATACTATCCTGCGAGGTTCCATGTGCACTAAAGCCCCGAAGGGTCTACTCACCTGCTTCAAAAGGAGGAGCTGAAAAGAGCACGGGTAGCTGGCTGAGCTCGCTGAGGCATCCATTGCAAAGATGCGGTGAACGATACCAGCTGTGGCAGCTATGGGGTTTATGACCTGGACACCCGGGTGCATCCGGTGTTGGCGAGAGAGGAACCGAGCTGCCTGGCCGGTTGGCCCGGAGTTGGCATGGGAGGGTCCTTGGAACGGAGATGTTGCGAGGTTAGGTGGAGGTGCTTGAGAGTTGCTTATGGCTGAGGGCCTCACAGAAGCACCTGCCAGACCTTTTAGCCACAGGGCGGGGGTCCAAAAGAACTGGAGAGACGGGAAAACTGGTGAGCACCATTGTGCCACATCTCTTCCAATTCACGAGGAGTTGTTTGGCTGGAAGTGTTTGCAATTCAACCACACCAACTTGTAAGCCGCTGGATCTTGGTCATGTTGCTGGTGTTGCACATTTTACTGTATGTTCTTTTTGTGTGATCTCCTTGGGTGGATTGCGTAAACATGGATATCTTGCAAACCATCCCGAGCACGACAGACTGATCTTGCTTGGGCGTTCAACAAGAGAAGTCAGTCACCAAACGGCCCATTCTGTCCATATTGATCACCCTAGGGCTCCAGTCGCACCTCCTCAGAAGGTCGTTGGACCCTCCTAACCCACCCCAAACACCTTTTTTAGAAGGCGCGACTGGAGCCCTAGGGTTATGAAACAAAGCTCTTGCACTTTCTATTGTTTAAATAGAAACCGCAGGCAGCTTTTTGTCATAACCCTACGGGTATGTGTTCATCCTTCCCACAGGTTCCTATTTCCTGAAGAAACGCATCCGCCTCCCTTCACGCCCACGTGGGAAGAGCTCGTCCGCGGGATATTTGCACTTGGAATGCCAGCGTTGGCGCGATCGCCTGGCGAAGAACGCCCCGGTGGCCTACGAGCAGCTTCGCGGTTTGAACCTCTGCGATTTGGACCGCAAACCAGGGAGAGGGGGTATTGCAAGTAACTGCCAACGGACGGGGAGGTCAAAAGTTCGTTCAAGGTTCAGATGCAAAGTCCTGTTGGCGGGAAATTGATTGCTGATGTTGCTGCAATCAACTTGCATGCAGTCACTGAAGCCTGTTGAAGAAACATGAAGCTGATTCACCTGTTCTAGACACTCGGTGGGACTGACATATGACTCCCGATCAGTTTGGGTGGTTGATTTCAGAGGTTTTGTATTGCATATTCTGTAGCGGATTCTTAGTTTTCTTATTACCATGTTCCAGTCCCATATGGAGGTCACCGTTAGACACCCCCTTACACTACACATAGGTCTCCATTGGACACCCCGAACGGAAGCCTGGGTGTGTATTTCTCAAGCCTGTAAAGACCATCAAAAGAAGGGTTGACCTGGTTCTAGTCTGAAATCCTTAGTAAAGCAATGGTGGCTTGGGATTCAGACCATTAAAACAGCGGTGGACCAGGAATCCCAGCAGTATTCAGTTTCTTCGCAGCTTCCAAAGGGCATGGTTCCGCAACACGAGGTGAGCAGGAAGAGCAGAACTTCCTGTTCGCAAGACCGGCGGCGCGAGGGACTGGGATGGGACGTGGATGGAACTCGGATCAGCAGCAGAGGGCACCTCTGATGATGCGGGATCTGAGCAATCCTCAGCTCGAGGTCTGGAAGGTCGGAGTCCAAAGACCCTTTCTCCGACTTGGTGAGTTTTCTTTGCTTTCTGGTCGCCCACCGGCTATGAAACAGAGTCGAATCTATAGTCTTTAGACTTCCTTTGTGGTGTGTTTATCAGAGCCAATGTACACGAATGTACAGCTCTGAACCCGATATGTGGTTCCCCCTTATTTGGGTGGTGCTGTGAAGGAGCGTGTTGTGAAAGGTGATCGAAAAGCATCCAAAAGGAATGCTCCCCCAAAATATGCAACTGTTCCAAGCAAACCACTTGTGGGTTTGGAAGATTCTACCTATTTCTTGAAGATTATATATACATCAATCTTTTTGTTTGGCAAGCAAGTGACCATTCTGAGATGCAATTGTTTTGTCGAACAAGTCCATTTGTTTGGATGGATGCTTGGAGGAGAAGAGGGACCCCCCTTCCCCCTCCGGCGCTCTGATAATCCCTCGCGCCACAGGCCTAGAAGCCTGGGTGGAGCCGAATCGAAAAGCACCCGGAGAACGGTCCGTGGGCGGAGAACGGTCCGGGGGTGTAGTGGGGAGATGCTCTTGTCGGCCCCAAGCATGTTGGTGGAGAAAAAAAATCCGGGTGGGCAACTGCCCAAACGTTGAGACCCTATGGGCAACTGCCCAAACCTTGAGAACACAAGGGGGTTGAGAACGGTGTGTCAAGTCCGAACAGTTTGGCAGCGGAACAGTTTGATCCTTCAAGTGAAGCAAGATCAAGGAGCCATGTGACGGGAATTGAGAAGACTTAGGTGACCTACGTTTGCAGCCATTGCACTACAGCATGACTGTTACACTCATTTAATCTATATTAATCAGAATTACTGGTGGTACGCAGTACATCCGCAGAAGTGGAAGACCAGGACACCAGGTTGCACAGGGAGGATGACAGAACTACAATCACGTTTAGTGCCCAATCAGAAATCATAGGCAAATAGGTTGTTTTTGTCGCAAAATCCTGCACCATTTGAGAAAGACAGCTAGGTTTGCATCCATGATCTTTGCCTCGAACCCATTTAATCCTTGTTAAGACTCCCAAGTAGGTTCACCCAGATTCCAGGGAGGGTATTTCTGTTGGAGACCTTGTCCAACTGCACCTTGCCAACATGTCCAGCTGCACCTTTCCATTGACCCTAAGGACATCTTAAAATCACCCCCATGTTGACCCTAAGGACATCGAAAAATCACCCCCATGTTGACCCGCAGGACATCTTAAAATCACCCTCATGTTGATCCTAAGGACATCTTAAAATCACCCCCATGTAGGCAAAAAGTCCATGCACGGATTGTTAGGGATTTCGATGCATTTTTTTGCGATGCGTTCCATGGTCGACAGGTCCATAGATTCCGCAGCACTGCTCAAGAACCCCTTTGAGAAGACCGACATTGACCGACCATCAAATAGAGGAAGCCTTCTAGTAATCCAATTAGAAGCTCCATCACTTAAGAAAACATGCAGCAGGATCAAGATTCACAGTTTAATCCATTGGATCAATCGCAGTGAAAGTGAAGAGTAGAGTTGCCTTTTCTGTTTCTCAAATTCAGAAAGAAAGAGAGCCTTTGCAGCTTCTGCGACCGACTGACTGAGCGGTTTGGGGTTCCAGTCAAAGTCTGAAAAAGGGATTGTTGATCTCATCACTCGGGAGCGACTGACTGAGGAAAACTCGAGACTCGGGGGGCTATATCAGCTGCCCCCGAACCCCGATAGCTAGTTTCACATTCTCGCTATCGACCTAAGCCGCCAGGGTTGTAACCCCCTACAAAGATTCAACCAGTTTCAACTTCACTACGAGTTTCCGATGTCGAGTCGCACGTCACCAGCTTCTTCGCAGCCCACGTAGACTCGTCGCAGCGGTCGTTCGGCGTATTCGTTCGGAGCCCTGGGGTGCCTGGGTCGCCGGTCACCCCATGGCATGCTTGGCATTGCCATCGCTTGGCCTTGAGAAGGCCCGGCCAGTCCAAGCGAGTCGGAGCGTGCAGCGAGCTGCTCTGAAATTCCGGTGGACGGAGAGGTTTTTTCGTAAATAGTGAACCATCCCCAACATGTGCAGATTTCTTGAGCCCGAAACTTGATAAGTGGACTTCACAACACGGGTTGACCCGAAAGCACAAGCCGATCCCTGTATTGGCGGTGTGAGACTCGTGGCGGGGTGGTCAACCCTCCTCGAGTTCGATGAGGAGATGCGGAGATGTCAGCGGTTTTGACCGCTGACGATCTCGAGGAAGTGGCTGGATGAATGAAATGGTTTCAATGGGCTAAAACCTGGGTGAAGCGAATGTGATGTCCACAACCGTTTTGGAGAAGATTAGGACATCTATAGTCCATTCTCCTTTGTTTCTGGTCGATGGTCAGGATTGAGTTGCTTCGCCCACTTCGTGATGCATGAGCTGTGGAGGCTTTGTTGCAGGCAGCAGCAGTGGATGGTGCAGAGACGAGAAAACCTACATCAAACAAGCTGGAATTACCTTGTGTGTTGTGTGTAGTTGAAAGGAAGACACGAAGGTTTATGCCGGTGCCCAGATTCTATAAGTCCTGCCATACTTTGATCCATGCTGGATTTTGCTCGCGTATCGCTTTATGAGTCCTTGGATGTTCATAAGCTGTACATATGTGTGCTTAATAAGTCAGTTCTTCCATTTACAAGGACCTCCCTGAGGATCTCCCAAAACGTGGGCCATCCTTTTGGAAGGATCTCACATCGGTTGCCACGTTCGTCCGTTGCCAGGGCCTCCGTGCTGGTGGTCTTGTCGGGGGTGTCCTTTTTCAAGCTGCTCCCACATCTGAATACGCTTGGAACTTCTGGGCTCACCGGGCAGAGTGGCCTTTTCTTGCCGCTTGGGTCAGTGACAGCACTCACTGGGATGGGGTGAAGGTGGAATCACAGCAACATATTTGGAGTCTTCGAGGTGCCTGAGAAACAAGGCAAGTACTGTACCTGGTTTGTGGTTTCAATGATGCACGCTTCTATTTTCATCCTTGACCTACTATGATCACACAAATATGTAACATGTACCACAGTACCTAGGTATGGACATCCGAATGATACTTCTAGGACAAACTGGTCAAAGCCTCATGTCATATAGCATAAAAATATATCCCTAACAGCTCCATGGCGATGGTCACAAGGTGTGTTTTTTTCTTTTGTCAAAGCCTCATGAAATGTCTATCGTCTATCATTGGAAAAGCACACAGCGATGTTTTTGTTTACGGGACATCTGTCGTTCTTGATGCAGAATGTTTCCAGACGTTTTGCTCAGTTGCTCAGATTCACCACTGACTCCAGTGAAACTATTTCTGGACCTTTGTCCAGGTCTCTGGAGCAGGGTATAGCAGGGCCCTTGAGAAGGGCCCAGGTCCTTTTTTGGCCAAGAAACATGCACCATACCCTGGATTTGCTTAGGGAGATGGGGGTGAATCCAAGCTGGCGACTCATTGTTGTTTTGTTCTCTTCCTGGACAGCAAATCCAAGGCATGCACCACACGGCTGGTGAGACCAAGTGTGTCTCCCTGAAAGACTGGTGAAAACCACGGAGAACATGAGTAGCTACGCAGCCACATGCCGCTTCACTGTATCTCTTCCCCCATGGCGCTCGCAACTCAACTGTGGTGTGTGATGACACTACCCCTGATACGTTCTGCCATTGACTAGTGGTCATTGGACCTCACAAGTCCCAAATCTCTGATGTATGTACTAACCAGCTTCTTCAAATTGACCGAACCGGAGGGTCCCGGCTAGTGACTCCTTATGGACGCTTAAGATGGCTTGAAGTGACGGAACCAGCCGGGATCTCCAAGGACTCTAAGGGGGGCGAAGCCTCGGCTGTACACGCGCTACTCGGATGTACACGCGGCTTACTCGGCTGTGCACGCGGCTTGCTCGGCTGAATGAATGAATGAATGAGTAGATGAATGTCCAGAGGGACGTTATTAACACCCCCCCACCCCCCCACCCCCCCCACCCCCCATCCCAACCCAACATCATCAATCAAACGCA